GAAAGGGAAGAGGAGGTCGGAGGGGGTTGGATGGGAGCGAGTACGCGATCCAGCGGTGTTGGGCACGGCGCGTACCCCCGGAGGGTAAGTTCAAACGAAAACTCCGCGGCGTCCAACGAGTTTGTATCGAGCGTAGGAGGCAAAAGCAAGCGAGCGAGCGAACGAGCGAGAGAGAGAGAGTAGTAGGGACGAAGCTCGGTCGGATAGCTTAGGACCGAGAGAGAGAGAGAGAGAGAGTTGGGCGAGGATGCTAGAAAACCGTGAGCGGATGGGAGGACGAGGAAGGAGCGGAGGAAGACGGGGTTTCCAGAGCGAAAGAGAAAGAGGGAGAGAGGTCGTGTGGATGGGAGAAGGAAAGGGAGTAACGAGATCGGAGAGAAAGAAAGAGCGGAGCGGGAACGTAACGGGAGAGAAGATATTCTCTCTCTCTTTCTCTCTCTCGTCTCGTAGCAGAGCGCGCGATGCTGGTGCTTGCTGCAGAACGAGCCTGGGACGAGGGAAACGAGGGATTGGTGAAGAAGGGAGGGGAAACTGCCGCAGACCGAGGCCATGGTAGGCGAGGTGAGGTGGCAATCAATAAATATACAGAGAGAACCGGCGGAGAGAGAGAGAGTGGTAGATCGAGCCACGAGGAGGCGAGAGAAAGAGAAAAATATAGGGGGATGAGGGTTGTGGGAGAGAGAAGGAGAGGGAGGGAGAGAGAAGCGCTCGTCGCGTCTGTCCGACCGACGGGTCGGTCCGTTCTTGCGTCCCCAAAGCCCCCACGAATCTAACCGACGCTCGTTCGAAGCGAGAGAGAAAGATAGAAAAAGAGAGAGAGAGACGGAGAAAGAAAGCGGGACAGGGGGATACGATATGGAAGTTGATGGAACGAGATGGTAAAGCCGGCCACGAGAGGGAGAGGAAGGGAGAGGAAGGCTCCGGAGAGAGGCTTTGCTTGAAAAGACAGGAGCAAACAGAGAGAGGCAGAGAGAGAGAGAGAGAGAAGACGCGCGACCGACACAGGGATGCGAGAGAAGGTCCGGGAAACGCGTATATACCGGTCGGGTCGCGGAGGTGAGGCAACGAAATAAACGAAATCCCATCGAATGGAAGGGTCGGGGGAGGGGAGATGGAGAAGGACCATCGTTCGGCTCTTCCCGCCTCTTTGTTCCACGATTTCTTCCCGATACCCGGAAATATTCGAGTCCGTGTTTTTCAAGGGGGCCGCTAATTGGAGAAGAAGAGATCGGGTTAACCGGTACTCGAAACGAAAGGGGAGGGAGGGGAGGAAAGAAGGGAGGGAGAGAGAGAGAGAGAGAGGTCTCTCTCTCGAAAGAGATCTCGAGGAGAGGTTGACCATTAACGATGGGATCTATGATTAACGTCCGGTCCGAGGAACGATGTTGGACGGGTATCACGAGTTACTAACGGTACCGCGAGTTTCGATTCNGAGCCGATAATTAACGTATATAAACGTTATGCGGTGGATGCGGCAGCATCGGCCGCGACCGATTCGACGGATCGATTGGAGGGAATCGGAGCGTGGAAGAAAACGCGGAGCAATGGGTATTGATTGCCACCGTGCGAAAAGTCGCGACGCCCCATTCCGTTCCCGGCTACCAGGAACGCTCAACCATTTCCGCTCCGGGGAGCTTCTTCTCTGCCCTTGTTCAACGTTCGAGACGCGCCACAATTTTTCCACGGATATAGATCGACAGCGGAGGGAAAAAATCGCGAATAAACGATATTTGATATCCGAGTCGAGTCTAAAGTGATATATCGAAAAGTTGTTTGAATTGGCGCCACGTTCGAAACTTTCCATTCGAAAGAAGAAGATGTTGAGAAGATGTGGGTGTTGGAAAGATGGATGGATAGGCACACAGGTCGACTTTAATCAGTTAATAGGGGAAGATCCGAGACCTTATCGAGGCGAGGTCGAAAGTATGAAATCGTTTAAAGGTAAATACACTCGAATTAAAATACGGGTTGATACTTGGATAATGTCGAAGCCGCGAGGCCGTGTCTTCTTTCGACGCGGTTCGCGAGAAACGAGAACAACGTGACAAGTATCCTCGAATCGCCGATGAGAAAAGGCTAACCGCCTCGCCGAGAAGAGAGGAGAAGGGCTCGATTGCAAGCGTGCAAGTAGTGCTAATTAAAGTAAGTGGCCGAACAGGCCTCTCCTTCCTCAAGAACGCGTTATATATACATACGGTATATACACATACTTATACAGTCGGCCGCAAAAGTCTTTATATACGCTCTTCTTAACCACGAATCTCGCCTCGCCTTGCTTGAAAATTCTAATTTTTAATCAAATTTTCTCCAATTCGTAGATCGCAATTGCAAATATTTCGAATACAATTTCTTTTTTTTTTTTTTAAATAAAACAACGATAAATAAAAATAATTCGCATCGTTAAAAAATACAAAGGCTTTCGATTTTCACTTTGAAAATGATCGAGAACCATTAAAAAGAAATTTCGTGTGTACGACAAAATTTTTATCTAATATAATTTTATAAGTCGTGATCGTTATTTAGAGTGAACGAAGATTTTCGTAACAGGCTGT